GCGAAGGGATAAGGAATTATCCTGGTGTAAAAATAAAACATGTTCTACTGTTTCTGCTCCTGTCTTACTTTTAAGTTAACCCCTTGTGACATCGCTTAAGAAAATCCAGCAGTGACCTAGAGAATATAATGCATTGTAGACACCATTGTTATAAGTACTCACCAAGACGCCTACAGCAGCCTCACTCTTCTGCTAACCAGAGGACTGAGATTGCTCTGTGTTGTATTGTGTTTGATTCCATTGTGTGTCAGGACACTGACAAGTGCGACAAAAACATGACGAGACAAGAGGACAGATGGAATTAAGTTTCTGCACAATTTCCCTCATTTATAGAAAATACAGAGGCAGAGGGTAAGGGGAAATATAAGAAAGGAAGATGAGATTAAAAAATATAAAAATAAAGAGCTGATTACGCTTTATTTAGTCACGCAACATCCAACACAGATTCAATATTTAAACCTTTATAGCTGATAAGTGCGTGGACATCCATCCTGAGACCGTTTCTCTTTAAAAGCGAGGCCACGCTAATTAGACCATCCCTTTGTGCGGGCACAGGAGTGGTCCTAAAAACCCGAGATCTAAACAATCAGCGGCAAATAACAGCAATTTCACAGCTAATTCATAGATTTCACGTGTGGATGCCCCCATCGCCACCCTCCATTTAATGCTGTGAAAAGAGACAAGTGTGACATTATAACCACAGGATCAAACTGTGGGTGTTGGGTGGAGGTCGAGGTCTAATGATTTAAGTCTGGTTTGAGTGTTAGACCTGCGAGGCATCTACAGAAGGTGATTGTGGCACTCTGCACACAGGGGGAGCATCCTTGCTGTACATTTAGTATTTGCTAATCCAAAGTAGTTACATTTTCAGACATTGGTTGCTAATTATGCCACGTTAACACCCGATTTGAGATCACAGAAACAGAACCTTCTTGACAACATGAAGTAGACCAAAAAGCAGCTCTGATCAAAAGTATTTAAAGATCGGAGAGGTAAAGTCTGTGGAAAGGGTTTCCTGTGAAAACCATTCCATCCATTTCCCGTCACACTTATCCTTTTTGCGGTCGAAAGGGGTGCTGGTGCCTATCTCCAGCTGTTCGTGGGGGAGAGGCGGGGTACACCCTGGATAGGGTGCCAGTCCATCGCAGGGCAACTCAGAGACAAACAGGACAAAAAAAACATTCACCACACTCACATCTAAGGAGAATTTAGAGAAGCCAATTAATGTAACAGTCATGTTTTTGGACTGTGGGAGGAAGCCGGAGTACCCGGAGAGAACCCATGCATGCACAGGGAGAACATTCAAACTCCATGCGAAAAGACACTGGGCTGGAATCAAACCCTTCTTGCTGCAAGGCAGCAGTGCTACCTGTGGAAACCATAAGTTGCAAAAATGGATAAGGTGGAACAAAGGAGAACCTTCAAAGGAGTGACCAGCAGCCAAAATGACTCCAGGTGTGCATTAACATTTTATACAGGAGGTCAGAAGAAACCGGAACAACATCATAAGCTCTGTAGACCTCAGGGAGTTTATTTAAGGTTAGAAATTATTATTTAAATATCATAAGGAAAGAAGTTTATGTCTAATGAGACAAAAGTAGAAGTTTTCTGTTAGATCTGGCAGAAAACTAAAAGTATTTCAAAGGCAGGGCAGCATATGGTGTTACGTCATCGGGTACTGAAGGAAACATCATAGGTGATGGATGCTGATCTGTGTGGAAAATGCTTAAGGAGAATGTTCTACCATCAGCGTGTGTCCTTCAGTTCAAACTTATTTGAGTTTACGAGCAGGAGAATGATAGTAAGACCAGCATCAAGCCCAGCTGGGAATAAATAAAAAAAAAGGCCTTTGAAAGACAAGAATCTGATTGTGATGCTTTGGTATGTCTTTAAAAAGGTGGAAAACCTTCTAATGAGACTAAATTTCAACCACTTTGCAAAGAATTGTGGGAAGAAATCGATCAAGGTGAGTTTGAACATCTTATCTTTGTATGGTGTTACATTTATTCTGTAATCTGAAACATTTCAGTCTGCAGCGAAAAAACAAACTGAAATGAAATCTGGAGTGGGAGAAACACTTTTTTTCTAGAATTTTGTAAATGTTTTATGACTTTTATTTTATTATTTTGGTATCAGAAATAGTTTTCACTATAAATCAGCGGCTTTGTGGCTAATTAGATGTTGCACTGCTTTTGTTCTCAAAGAGGATGATTCTTTGGGTCAAAGGTTAAAAGTTAGGTTTCTCTCAAAGATGTAAAAGTAAAATAAAAATACAGATGACCACCCCTGGTTAGAAATATACATAAAATACATTTTATTAATTTCTTAAGACTAAACAAAAATCCTTAAATATGGCACATTTTAAAGCAAAAATGTTTGTTGGAATCCTTTTTTTGGAAGGACTTAAATGTTTCCTTAACTAACCTCTTGGGGTCTTTATTTCATGTGTATCTCTAATGGATTTTTGTCAGTTTTAAATGTAATATAATGCTTATTAATTTCTTAGGTTTTCCTGCAGAACTACAAGGATTTTGTTACTTTTAGACAGCTTTCTTTTTCCGCCTGTTGCCGCCTTTTGTGCTAATTTAAGTCAGCTGCTTAGTCTAACTTTCAGCAACAGAGCATGTAATTATAATCCTAGAAAAGCTAAACTTTTTCTTTAACCCCTATTTCACAGTCAAATAGGACTTTCTCTAAGTGCCTGGCAGTTTAATGGGATTACAAACTATTGAAATCTTGTATTTTTAACAATCACCTGTTGCTAAAGATGCTTATAGCAGAAAGATAACTGCAGCCTTGCATCTACATGTTCCTGCCAGTCAAAAGGTAATTGCGTGAACCTTCTAAACATGCATCATATGCTAGAGGTGATAAATTCATGAGGAGCACACACCAATGTGCTCCCAGCAACCCGTCTGCAAGCAGTTCAAGGTGAGTCTAAAGAGCTTGGAAAGAACTTGGTTACACCTTCAATTACAACGCCCACACATCTATATATTCTAGAGTGTGTTCAAAGTAATGCAGCCTTAAAACAAATTGCAAGGTAGTTACACTGCATTATTTATTTTTGAAGTTTAAAGTGGTTTTAGATTTGACAAAACAGGCTGTAAAAGACTTTGGTCGTTCTGCTCTCATTTTTTTTTTGCAAATGACTGAGTGAGTCATTGCGCTTCAAGTTTTGATGAAACCCCTGGTGAAGAAAAATACTTAAAAAAAAAAGCTTAAATGCAAAAAAAGAGGATAATGCTGTGCCAGTTTTTCTCCTCTATCTGCTTTCCTTATGTGGCAATCCTTTATAACTGTTCTCCAGATTTCACCTCTGACAGTCTTGCCCTAGATATTTCTCCATCCTTGTCAGACGCACTTGCAGGTCTCATCTGCTGCCAGCTGTGGAGGAGAGGACGCGGAGATCAGTGCGGATGGGATGTGAAAAGGATGACGGGAAACCAATCGATCCAAATCCTTCAGCCTAATCTTGTTGACGTCCTCGGATGGTGCAGACAGCAGCCCTGAAGCAACTTGAAAGGAAATCTGAAAAACTAAATTTTCATAAATTATATATATATATATATATATATAAATATATATATAAACAAACTTGTTTATAATTTAAAGAAAAAAAGGGCTTTAGAATTGCAGCAAGACGTACATACACTTCAGGTACACAGGTTTTCTGCAGCTTTAGACTTTTTCCTGTACTTTTTAAAAACTTCTCAGGTTTTCTTGGAACTTTATTCAAAAATCTAAAATACTCTACTGCACCCTTGTGGCTTTTGCAAAACCTGCATTTATGCATACTTTGATATCAAACAACTGTACATCATTGAAAAAATTATGTTGAAGAGTGAAAGAAACCATTTAACGGCCATTCTGGGACAAATTAGGTATTTATTCATATATAGTAGTTTATTTTTTATGTATAAATACAGAAAAAACACTTTTTAAACAGGTTTGCTGAGGCGTTTTGTACATCCTACCTGCTTAATCCCATTTAAATTTTTTATCTCTTTAACTTATGATTTAATTATTTATTATTATTAACATTGATTACTTTTAATTTGAACTAAGTTGTTTTTTAACTCTTATTTTCTATTTTAGCTTGTGTGTATCTTGCTTGTCTTTTTTCATTTTACTGTTGCTTTAGGTTGTATGAAAAGCAAGTTGATGACCTTTGTTATTTAAAAGTGCTTTAGCAATAAAGAGGTATGGTATTTTAAACATTTGTGTGTTAATGGGGTTGCATAGTGGAAGCCTCGAAAAGCATTATGGGATATATCTGCCTCTTCCGAGGCTTTTTTCTTCTCATACACTTCGTAGGCACTTTTTCTCTCAAGACCCTCGGCAATTTTCAAAGAATCCTGAAGTGGAACAAAAACATAACTTATAATATAAAAATGTTTTGGGGAAAAGAACTGTGTGCGATGGACCTTTTGAAGGTAAGCAACACAGGGTCTAAAGAAGCTGTCACTTTGTTCTGTATATAAATATATTTATGGGTTATACTACAGTCTTTATGAGAATTTTGAAGAAAACTTAAACTAAAAGAAGTCGACTCTAATTTAAGTAATTTCTCCAAAAGTCTGCATCGGAATAAATCCAGGAAATAAGCTACAAAGGTCACAGTCCTTGCATAAAGTAACTCCTGCACTAGAATATCAGAAGCATTTCACATGGACTACAATGATTGTTACCCTAAGTCCCCTTCTTAGACTGGATTACATTTTGTATTTTATTAGGAAATCATGGTCTCAGATTGAAATTTTGCATGTTATTTTATTCCACTTTTTCCTTCCGCTAAACTTTCCCCTTAAAGCAAGAAAAGCAAGCTGTTAAAGTAAACATTTGTGCCTTATCCCCAATCACTGTCTTCATAAGGGAAAACATCTACAGTATGGCCAAATTGTTTTGAATCAAAAATCATTTTAACTGATTACTCTTTCATAATGTTCTGATTTATTGAAGCAGAAATTACCATTTCTAGTCATAAAAAAAACAAATACTTTTTACCCATACATCCACTCGTGGCTTTTATTTGGAGCAAATGTACAATCGTCTGCCATTAAACGCTAAAAGAAAAACAAAAATTGGCAAATATCCACAACGAAATGTTGATTATAACTCTTAAAAACCGTATACAAAAACACCCAAATGCTGTACAACAATTAGCAAATAACGATGTTTACATTTTCCTGTATTGTATCTGAGGGTACAGCGGTCTGTCCACACCATTAGCTATGAGATGTACAGATTTCTTACAACGATGCGTCACAAAAAAACCCCAAAAGCTTTACGTACAAAGGCCGTCTTGCACAAACAGGACGACAGTGACAAATACAGTAAGACTGGTGGCTTTAAAAGCCTTTATAACAATGTGTCAGTCTTCAAACAATGCTGATGCAAACCGTCAACTAACAACAAAACAGGTTTTATACATTGAAAGCTAAGCATATAGTTTAACACTCATGTGCACTGGCGTTTGGTAAAAACAGGTTTTGGTGGCTTAATTACACAACTGCTTTAATAAGACACATAAAATACTGTCTCCACATTGGAAAAAAATCTAGTATTGCATGGTAGAGAACAATCAAGGGTAATATTTAGGTTTACTGTTTTTAATGATTTGTTTGATTTTGATGTAAACTGAATAAATAGCTAAGTTAAAATGTCTGAGCTGGAAAACTGAGGTCCTATTTTAAGTGTAGATGGCGTATTTATGTTCAGTTAGGTCTCCAATTCTTTCCAATAAAGCTCTAAAAACTTTGAAGGTTAGGATTTGAATTAAGTACAGGTGTGACTATTAAGGAAGCCTTAGAATACAATAATGTATTATTGCAGCAACATAATCCCATGATAAAATGTAGGGAGGGGGAATAATTTAAGTTCTGCAAACAAAATAATTTAAGTATTATTTATTTTTTTACATCCTATATTCCTAAATGAATTCATGTTAAAATGTTTATTAGTAATTCCTGACTTCCTATTTTGCTGGAAAAAATATTGAATGTAAGTAGTAATGCTCTTCAACAATCAGTAAACAGCTCTGAAGAATAATAGATACTTACCTAAACTAACTTATATCTGCAAACAAGGCTGTGTTGTAAAAGCTTTTCCTGTCCTACCATCACAAACATAAACACATCGACTTGGGTCCTAAACTTAAATCATGCGCTTTGGGATGATGATACACCAGTTTGGCCTAGACTGAAAAAAATCCACTGTTAAGGAAGATGGAGGAGGAATGATGCTGTGGGCCGCTTTCTCGTACAAAGGCTTTTGGAGTTTTGTGGGAGTGGGAACATTTTTAACGTGGGAGACTGGTGCTGCAATAAAATATTTAACGGAGTACCAACATATATAAGGCGATGGTTACTGCATGCCTTTTTAGAGGAGAGCTTGGAAAAAAATGTCAGAAAAGCATGAATAGAGTATGTGTCAACAACAAATTGGGTTAATAAAAGTTTTTTAATAATTTATACTCACAATATTTATTTTATTTATTATTCAATTTTTTGGTGACATGTATATAAATAGGAAAAAACTGAAGAAAAACTAAATAGTAATGTCATGTTTCATGTGCAAATCTTTTTTAAGTCTTTTTCAGTTCTATTTGTTCAAACTTAAAACAGCAGACTGCAAAAAGATTCTTAAATTCACTTTTTATTATTTCTCCATTCTCCCATTCACTATTCATGTTTGCTTCCATACTGTACATCCATGCTTTGCAGAGCCTTTATGCCATCCAAGTGCTTACAAACACTTAATGCACCGTAAAGCACATGAACAATCATTTATTTCACACACTAGCACAAGGCACCTAATGTAAAGCAGCTAAAAGTATCTCTACTGTAGCAGCAACAAGGCTTTGGTTTATCGAGGTCCAAATCAAGAGATCAAAACAGCATCTCTGCTCTGCCTCACGATGGGTGGAGAGATGAATCAGTGGAGGAATGGCAAAGGACGAGCAGAAGGGGACAGTGGATGGTGACGGTGAGATAGGTGGAGGAGGCGCTAGCAGAGGTGGGATACTTTCCACATCCTTTCTCCAGAGGGAGAAGAAGAGAAAAAGAGTAACACAGCTATAAAGACAGAAAACAATAGTGTATGGCTTTAAAAATGAGAAATGAACAATAAAAGTCTAAAGTGTATTGAAGATTTTGGGAATTTTTTCACTTTTAAAGGAATTCTGCATTTTATTTTATTATTTAAAGACCCCTTCTTTCTTTCTGTAAATATTAAGGTTTATATGGACACTTACTGCTCGATTTAGGAAATCAATAGAGAGTATAAGCAATTAAAACACCAAAAAATAATAGTTATCCATAATCTTATTCATTTTAAAAGCAGTTAAATAATGTAACATTTACACTTTTATAAAATTTCTACTATATTGACACAAAAGGAGTTTTTTGGATGATCCCCATTAGAACAGGAAGCAGTTCCATATATGGAGGCTGACTGTAACGGCAACTTAAAGCCTGTGAATCTCTTCTGCTGTCAACAGAAAAAGGGGTTAAGTTAACAAAATCTGAGCTTTCTAACTATATTATGTCAAACAAATGTGCGGCGACTTATTGGTGACATCAAAAATGGATTTAGCGAGCGCTTTAGCTGTAAAGCTAATCTAAGCATTGGTGATCTCCATGGAAGTAAATAGGTCAAGTTCTCCCCAGTAAAGGAAATAATTGGAAAACTGGATTTAAGGATGCAAAGCTTAAAAATTTTAGGGAAGAGGTCAAAACGCAGGATATGCAACTACTCCTTTACTTGGCTTAAGCAGGGAGTTACCAGCCAGACCGCAATCAGAGATACAGATGCTGTTTGTGAGCATAAAGCTTTTCAGTAACCTTTTCTTTTATGATAGTTTATACTCCATTCATATCAGAGTTTTTACATTTTCTTTTTGCCTTGTCTGAGCTTGATAGGTTTTTTTTTTGACACATTAGAAAACAAATATAGTGATGAGTTTACAGAAGTTCATGGTTTCCTATTAATCACCACATAAATCTTCAAGTAACTCAGATTCAGACTTTAAAATGTTATCACTATTTTTATAGCAACAGGTCATTGTCTTCCTTTTAAATGGTTAGTAATCTCTGTCACTCTTTCTATTGTTAGTCTTGTCTTTTCATCTTTTAAAAATGCAGAACAGTGCAAAGTTGAATATGAAATAGAACAGATGATATATGCCGTTAAAATGGCTTCCTTCTGACATGCAATCAGTTATTTTTAAGGGGATTCATCAGGGGAAAATGACTCCTTAAAGAAAACCCCAAAAACTATTGCTCATGGAAATAAATAACATTGATAGCATTTTTTAAGTTTGTTGTTATGTTATACTTTTATCTTACACATTTTAGAAGGGGACCAAGTTCTTTGAGTAATAATACATACAAATATTGTGTGATGGCAACGACTACGAACCAATACAGGAAGCTTGCGTAATAAAATGTTTAACATCTAATTGTGGTATTTTTATTCACTGAATTATCCGATTGATGGAAGAAGAATGGAGATAAAAGGATTGAAAAAAACCACAAACTAATGAAACCAAAGGACTGCAGGACAGTTGATGAGTGCAAATCTATTACCTCCAAGCAGTTTGTAATTTTTTAATGTCAGATCTTTAACAAATTTGAGGTATATTAACTTTTTTGATAGTTTACATTTAAAAGTTTTATAATAATAGAAGAAAGTGTGAAGATATATATAGGCTGCTGATCAACTGGTGGAAAGACAGTAACGAGAAACACACATTTTTGGGAATAAATCAAATTGCGCTGAAGCAGAACTGTCAATGCAGAAATAAAGGAGCATCAGCCATTAATGCTAATAGGGTAACAATGATTTAAAACTTTACGCTGTGCATTTCCTCAGTGAGCTATGGAGCTGCTCCATGTATTAAAGGAGAATTCTGGTTTTTAACACTTTTAGCCCATTTTCTGTAGTGTCCAGGATGAAATCGAATGATCGACACCAAAATTTTGACAATTGGTCCTGTCTCTGCTTTTTGGCTCATTTAGAATCCACCCCTGGCTGCTTTAGAATGGCTTCCATAGTGCATGTCCGATAATGTCCTTAAAACAACCTTAAACGTTCTTTTTTTAAAATATGCTACTCACCGGGTCGTCAGCGCTGTTCAATGACGTTCCAAAAAAAGTTTCGTAAAGAAAAAACGTTCCTGTAGTGTTTTATTTAGCATTTTGTAAATCCCATTGAGTTCTGTTGGAATAGTCAATATTCCCCTGCCACCGGAAACGGAAATGGGGCCTGTTTACACAGTTTTAGTCTTTTCGCTTCACTCTGTGTACTCCGACGTCGAGAATCAAGAATCCACCTTTCGTATTCCATTTTCAGAGTTTTTTAAAGTGTTTAACAGAGACGTTAGCACCTCGACGTCGGAGTACACAGAGTGAAGCGAAAAGACTACAACTAAGCGTAAACAGGCCCCATTTCCGTTTCCGGTGGCAGGGGAATATTGACTATTCCAACAGAACTCAATGGGATTTACAAAATACTAAATAAAACACTACAGGAACGTTTTTTCTTCACGAAACTTTTTTTGGAACGTCATTGAACAGCGCTGACGACCCGGTGAGTAGCATATTTAAAAAAAAGAACGTTTAAGGTTGTTTTAAGGACATTATCGGGCATGCACTATGGAAGCCGTTCTAAAGCAGCCAGAGGTGGATTCTAAATGAGCCAAAAAGCAGAGACAGGACCAATTGTCAAAATTTTGGTGTCGATCATTCGATTTCATCCTGGACACTACAGAAAATGGGCTTAAAGTGTTAAAAACCGGAATTCTCCTTTAAATAACAGCAGCTCTCAAATGACAGGTTGTTCATCTGCAAGGATCCAGAAATAGCAAATAATCACCTTTAGGCAGTTGTCGTCTAAATCTACAGAAAAGCTGCAAGCGACATATCTGTTCAGCCTAGCTGCCTAAGAGTAAAGCTCAAATTTTTAGCTAAAATCAATATTTTTTACACCTAGCATTACTGCAGTGACTCTGAAATGGCAAAATATATATAATCTGACCACTAGAGTACTATGAAAATGATTAGGTGGGTGAACAGGTTTTTATAAGGCTATACTATATTTAAAAAATATTAATTATCTACATTTGATGTATTTTTAGCAGCAGTAGGAACATTTTTTTAAACTTTAATTATAAATGAAATCATTTAGCTCATAACATACATTGGTTTTGAATTTTTGAGGTAAATACTTGAAAACTATGAACTTTTCTTCTCAAAGTTAACATTTGTTATGGATTTTAAATCCTAATTTAAAGTATCTTATGTTGCATGAAGGCAAAATAAATTTTTACATACATTTTTCTATTATAATTCTATTTGAATAGAATTTAGGTTATAATCAAGATTTTATGGAGATCATCTGAGGAGGTAAACTTTAATGAAGGCATTAGGACTTTGGGGCACTTGGAATCTCTTTGTGACATTAATTTCATTAAGGAAATATTTGAGTATCTATTAAAGTGCTTTGATAAATAAATAAGGAAGCACTAAACTATCTCTACTAGAGGTGCACCAATCAGCCGGGAGAATTTGCTCATTTTTTCTCCATCTCCTCTGAGCAAAGAACAGGTAATCTCATTATCAGCCGTACTTAAAAAAGCATCAAAACAAAATAAACTCTCTTAATTATTTCCATTCTATAAAAACATTAACTGAAATTTTGAACTTCTATTCACTTTTTCTTGAGTTTAACATACATAATAAAGGATTATTGACATAATGTATGTGTATCCATAAATGAGCATAATGTTGTAATTTTTCCATTTTTTTTGGTCAGTTTTTTTGGTTAATAATTTGGCAAAGTGATTTTCTCTTTGATTTGTTACAGTACTTCCTGTCAGAAATCAGTCTGCCAGATAAAGCCTGAATGGTGCATCTCTAATTCCTAAAGCCCAAAACAGCCAAATATAGAGCATTTTATAAAGACACAATCATCTATCTCATAGAACAGACAACAATACCTACAGGTGGAAGGAAAGCTTGAAAGAGGAGTCAAAGCTGGTCTTTTTTTTTTATCATTTGCACATCAGAAAGCTAAACTAGAACCAACTGATCTTCCATCATTCAGGCTTTCCTCCTCTGCTACACGCCTCCTTACAATGCCATAGGATCTGAGCGCAGAGCCTAGGGAGAGTTTCTGGACAACATGTTCGCACCGTGCCAACAGTAGTTATTCCTGAAGACAGGCAGATTGGGGTAGAGAGGAGAGAGAAGGAGATGAAGGAGCTGAAGACAAGAAAATGAGATGATTCATCATCATTCTAATCCCAGTGTCACTACATAAAACAATTAAAAGGAATAACAGTTAAAGTACACTTCAGCTGCCACTGAAGGCAGACACTAGTAAAGGGCTAGCGCATGTATGTTAGTGTCAAATCACAGTTCTTGAGTCTTTGCTTGAATTTTTTGTGACATAAATACACTGAGCCCTTTGCAAGTCATGGCGGCAAATGAGGCTTTGTGGCTAGGAACCCGTCCCGTTTACAGCGAGCGGCGACTTGACGTCAGGAATACCACCCGATGTCCAACTCCGGCTTATCCAAACTTCTTTTCTCACTTTAACTCCATATAGTTCTTTTTTTTTTTTTATAAAAAAAAAATAATAATAAATTAGACAGATGTCTCCGTTCCTGCCCCATTGTACGGACTCCACTGCAGAGGAGAGAAGGTGCAGTAGTCTGGCTTTCTTTGCCAGCGTGTGAACATGACTTTGCTGTTTGGGGTTTCAGACCTTCGTGGGTTCAGGGCCTTCCTTTGGTTTTCAGAGCCTCGCTGGTGGCTGTCGACCTTGGGTGGAGGGTGGAGAACCGCCAAGGGGGTGAACTCCGACAGGTGGCCCTTGTAGAGCTTATCAGCATTCTGTTTGAGGAATGAAAGAGGAAGGATAAGTGCTGCACGTGGTTTTTATTAACTCATCAGCTTTTGAACCAGAAAATATGTAAAATAACTAAATCAAATGGAAAAAAAACTGTAAAAATGTTCTCACCTTTACATGAATTAGTAAAACAAAGCAATAGAAACAATATTACGTTGATAAAAACAAAAATAAATCATGCAAATGCAAACACGATCACTGAACATGCAGTTGAGAATGTTTCCCGTCTGTTTCTGCATCCACCACCAGAGGGCACCAAAGCTTCACATAAGAAATCCCCTGCTTGAATTATACAGTATTTACCTCACAGCATTCATCCACCTTAAACTTTTTCAGTTTTCAACATATTACAAAAAAAACTTGACTTCATTTTATAGAGATTTTACATGAGAAAAGTATTAAATCCAAAACATATCAAAGTCTGTTTCTTTTGGTGTGAGAAAAACAAGAAAAAGTTCAAGAGGTGTGAGTATTTCGCAAGCCGCTGTATTTTTCCTGTCATCCACCACATGGATGACCCGTGTAGGATTACAAATTAAGATCACACACTTTTATGAGTGACACCAAACACCCCGAGAGGAAAAAAATAAAAAAATCAATCCACCAACTCAAAGTTTTACCGTGCTGTGACCTTTTAGGCTTCTGTGAGAGCTATTCCATCTAGTAATGAGTCTGAACTGGGGGAGGCCAGGGTTCTCTCAAACCTTGTCATATTTCTCCCATGCTGTGGATACACAAGTTAACACATACAGACATCTAGACACAAATGGGAGCTTTTAAATGAATAAAACAAACAAATAAGCATAAACATGCTCATCCTCTGAGTGAGAGGAAACGCTTAAAGTGACATTGCTGAAAAGGGCAGGCATGGCGGCAAACAAAGGAGGCAGGAAAGAGAGGGTAACGAGATGCGGGAAAACAGGAAGCAGGATTATTTAACGGCGAGGGGGGAGAGGAAAGGCAGAGGATCACCTCGTGGAGGACTGGGTTAGAAACTGATTCTGCTGGAGGTCTGAGACAGCATGAAGATGGTGGAAGGCTCGGAGGCAAGACACCGACGCTTTGTCTTCCACGGTGGTGGTGGGGGGGAAAGGGTTAAAAGGAGGAACAGGAAACAGCGGGTTCAAGGAAAGAGGGATAAAGGAAAGCAAATAATTACAACTCTGTAGGTCAGTGTTTTCAGAAAGTCAGGTGATCAGAGGTAAGAGAGTGAAAGTAGACATCAGTTTACTGTCCAAAGAGAAGCTACTTTATAACAGGAAGTTTAAGAGATGGATGTAAGGGCTGGCATTTTGGAGAAAATCAACAAAACTACATGGTCAACATCTATTTATCCTCACTTTTAAAGGCCGATCCTGTAGAGACACATTAATAACTCCACATGGCCTTGCAGGTCTGTTGATTTGGCCATTGGCGTCAAAACAGGAAATCCTTCAGAACCTTGTTGGTTGTTTTAAGCTCAGTGTCTGTTAAATCATCAACCCCACCAAATTAATGTTTTTTGCCCAATTCAGGGTTCACAATATATAATCTCATCAGCTAAAAGTAAAAGATTCTCTTTAGAAAATTTATGTTGATTTCTTTAAAGTTAAAAGCTATTTTCCTTTAGGAGTCATTGGAAGAAATAAACCTTAAAGTTATGAACTTGAACTAAACATTTGAGCTTCTCTAAACCATTTATTAGTCTTACACATGACCTTAGGATATAGTCATGTTCTCCTCCACTAGAAAGAAGCTTACTATAAATTATACTGTTCTCTTTTTTACTATATCTCATATTGCGTTTGAGGTTCTGTGGAACAACTATACAGTTTGCGGTTAAGTTATACTGCAGAAAAAGAGTGCTAAGATTCATCCACAAACTCGGGTATTTACACTAAGACAATCAACTATTCCTAAAGTCTAAATTGTCATAAATTTACACATCTTACAGCTTTTCAAACATTGCACTTAGTATTCAAAGCTAAAATGAAATTATTACGTAAGAAAATCCAAAAAACCTTTTGTTGAAAGGGATGGAATAAATAACCTGCAAGAATTTAATGTCTGCAGGTTATTTACTAATTTAATTGAGTAAAATGAATTATATTATGCAAATGTCTGTAGAGGTAAAATTATGAAGAAACTGTTCAAAAAGGAATATAAGGAAATACTTTTCCTAAATTATGATAGTTATGAAATCCATGGTTTATAAGTAAAAGGTACATTACTGAGCATGTTAGTAATTCGTAAATACTAAAAGATAAAGACGTAAAATTATGTTAAGACTGATGTTGAACTGGAAAACAGGTGGGAAAAATAAACTGGAAACTTCCTTTAAAGTATGATTAAAAAATAATATGTTGATGTATTCATTTACTAAATTGTTTTCAGGAGCCTTCTGTCTGGAATAGACTACCGGCTCCAGATTCTTTTATCATATACTTTTTCTTTAATAAGCTTTCTGATCTCTACTCCTGACTTTATTTTTCCTTTAGCCACTTTCTATTATGCTCAGGTTTATTTAAAATGTAAATTTAGGTTAATTTTCTGTGCAGCAGTTCCTCCTGCAGCACAAAATTATACTTCAGCCAACATCCTATCATCGTATAGCAGGTGTAATCAAGCCTTCTGGCTTCCCTCCTTTTTTATCCAGTGTAACCATGGACATTAACACTTCAATTTTGTTTTCTTTGAATGCATCTACCTGTATTTGTTCAGTAGTTGTGGGCCATAGCGACCTCAGGAACACTTTCTTCACCACATCTGGCAGCAGGCTGGCCGTGATCAGCAGGATAATACTGAGCCAGGCTGGACCGCTGGACAGCATCTGCATGAACACGTAGTACATTCGCTGGTAATTGAGGAAAGGCCTGGAGATAAAAAAGAAAAATATAAGCCACAGGAACACGACTCTTTACAAAACGAATTATTATGATAAGCGATTTTTATCAATTCACCAAATAATTCCTCCCCACAGCAGAGAGAAGACAACAAAGAAGACAAGTGAACCCCAGATGACAAAATGGTTGATCCACGTCCAGTAATGAGTATCGAGAGCCAACTGAAAGACAAACGGGACACATGGCAAATGCTCACTTATAATGATGGCTTTAGACAAGGTGACTGAAGGTGCAAGTAATGTCTAGGAAGCTGTTTTTAGGGCAGTTTACCTTGAATGTAACGGTGAAAACGAGAACGGTAAAGACCAGCGTCCCAAACGTCCAGTTTCCAAACATCTGCAAATAAAACAAAACAGCAGAAATGGCTGTTGCTGTTGCTATTATGTGTTTGCTGCATTTAGTAACATCAGAGATCATAACATGAAGGGTTAGTATGATGCCATGAAATATGCGTGAAAGCCTACGTCATACCTGCCACTTTTTCAAGTATGGCGGATCAGCAACTAAATTATGAATTTCATTTATAATTTTAAGCAACATACTACACAATTACACATGCTACATTACTTAAATTTGGACGTGTTTTTTTTTTTTGTTTGGGTTATTTGCATATAGATTGCTTGCATCCTGCAGCATTTTGATGTCCTTGGTAGATTTCTTTTTTCCCGTGCTAAGTTTCTCCTTTTTCTTATTCCTGGTGGTTCCAAATACGTGCAAATGCGTGCAGACTCTCCATCTTTTGTCATTCTGCCAAAGCCTCCTTTGTGGCCACAATGATTGCGGACGTTTTAGTTTGGAGTTTGCATCTAACTTTTAAAATGCTATTTATAGATGTAAAAACTGGGCCCAAAATTAGTTTCAGGTTGGACACATCAAATTCCTCCTCCTGCTATTTTGCATGTTTAGGTCATCAACATATGTCCTGTATTTTCATGAAAACAATTATTTTCGACACATTATTTCATTAAAACATAGATCAGCATTGCGTATGCAATTTACATGTGTTGCAATAAATGCATACATTTTTTAATAAGAGGTCCTTTGACTTTAATAAAGTAATAAAGGTTGTTGTTTTACACATGTTCTACTTTAGGAAGAAGCACGTGTGTTTAGGAGCGCTTTTGTTATAAAGAATCAATCAAACAGACTTAAGAAATCTAAGGGAACAATGTTCTCATACATTTTCATCTTTAAAGGAAATATTTCTAGAAGATTACACTGAAGATTGTTTAAGTAAATTAACAAAAGTTAATTACAAAACTTAAGTAAAAATGTTTTATCAGAGCATAACTTAGCATGCTTGCATCGCTTTGCAAAACTGAAATCTAAGAAATGTCACATTTTCTTGTAATAAGTATGATTTACCTTTAGGTGAGGAGGTAAGTAAAACAACTTGCAAGTGGAATAAAAAAATGTACATTTAAAATAAGAAAAAATAACCTCCAGTATCATATTTAAAGAGCAAAAGTGGTCTTTCAGTCAGCTGATCTTATTTATCCTCTTAAATCAAGGACAAGTCAAGTTTTTAGATCATTTTTTGCAGTATATCAACTGTCTAATTCAAACATAGCAATTTGAAGGTTAAAAAAAAAGCATTTACTTAAACCTTTATGAGATTTTAGAAGTTGACATCTTCAACAGGTTAGAAGTCATTTTGTTATTTTGCTGTTAGCCTTAGAACCTTGGGTTAACTAATCTGGAGCAGAGGCCCAAGATTATCATCTTCTGCACGTACACATATAATCTACTTATAATCAGTTGTCATATTAAAGGTATAGTGGAGGATGTTTTTTTTGGGTAAATCATCAAAATAAGTGGTCCTCCTAATTGTCAATCATTCAGGTGATCCGTCCTACGTACTCATCCCCATTTTAACTTACCGGTGGACAGTCTGACATAGAGGAAAAATTGCAAATCTTCTTTGGGAAAGTAAGCTTGTATAAGCGATGCAAACAGCAACTTTTAAACAGAGCGTGCACGAGGAGAAATGGGCTCGTGCATGCTCTCGCATGTGTTTAATAGGCGGTCCATCTCGGGGGCGGGAACAGGGTTGTGCATGTGCATTTTTTTTTTAAGTGGAGAGGGTGAGTCTTTTCAAAAATTTGCACTAATCCTCCACTATACCTTTAATGAAAAGCTGCCCCTCTAAAGGTATGCAAATACAAAAATCCAGCATTTCCAAAAGCCCAAGACTTAATTTTTTGGCCATCATTACAACATCCTTCCTTAAAGCCAATAACCTTTAGAATGCAGTACTGTTAAAGGGAATAACCCGTTATCTGACATCCGGTGATAAATTGAACACGTCTTTACTGATTTGGAATGAATCCAATGATACAACATGAAGTAACACAAAAATAAACACGGAAGGGTGGAAAACACACAAGCCCTGAACTGGTAAGTCTACAAGCTTAAAGCAAATGATATGAGATGAAGGTGAGTGGTGCCCTCTATGGACATGTTTGATGGGGAAGAAACAGGAAACTGGAGGGTGAAACTAGGTGGCAGAGGGACAGGGACAGGCTTACCATCTGTGTGTTGGTTGTCATTAGCTAAAAGGAAGAAAGAAGCAAAAAGAAACAAGCAACACAAAGGTAAGAGCAGAAGAAGAAAAATAATAAGGTAGGAAGAAAATTATAATTTATTTAGTTGAGAAAATAACTAGAGACCATGAGGCATCTCAAAGAAGGTTAAAGCTTTAAGAAAACCAAAAGACAGCTAAAAATAACCAAAAGGAGATTAAGAAAAAGCTGTAGTCCATAGGATGCGAACACAAGAACAAAGTTAGCTAAACAACCGTCAGGTGTTCCTCGCTATACCTTCTAAGATAGTTTACAGAAAATAAGCAGGAGAAAAGTTAAAAAACACAAATCCATCATTTTAGTTAGACGGAATGGCCTATTAGCAGCAACAGGTGAATAATATAGACTGGCAGGCAGGTCTGTTTATTTCAGTGATTTACTGAGCAAGTGAAAATGTAATAGCATGATAAATTTCATGTTTTTTTTTTTCAGTTCATTAGGAATCGGATTAAAAAAAAAAAAAATATTTGATGAAAATTTTTAAATTTCAAAGATAAATGACTAAAACTAAAACATTGCCCTACAGCATGGTTTCACCATTCACTAAACTGAAGTGAAGGATTTCAATACAGCATGAATTGCTTAATCTATATGGCATAACTGTGGGGAGATAAACCTCTCTTTTAGCCATTGTTTGTGCATAATTTTCTACCAGACTTTTTCCTTCCACTTAACTTTCCTATCAAAAGTACCACATTCTTTGTCATTATTTTTTGTGGTTCAGCCTCCTTGTGGAGGACTACAATGACTGCTGGCCTACTGATGAATCGTCAATCTTCCCCATATTGTAAATGCTAAATAACTTGTGTATTTACATGAGCAGAACTCTTAAACATATAATCCTTTAGGTACTGTCTCCATACGCTAGATGAGTTTCACTTTTTACCAAATGAATTACTGAAATAAATCAACTCCAAGAATATAGCAAAGCTTTCTTTGATTTGGAAAAAGAGGGTCATAGAGGCATCAGCATTACCTGTCCATTGCTGGTGAAGGTGGTGTTGTCAAACAGGAAGTAAGCACCAAAGAACATCACAATGGCATCATACACACCCAGGACAGTCCAGTAAATAAAGATGGGCCACGTTAGCAACGAGTTTTTGGCGATATCTCTGAGGATGAAAAACAAAATAAGTTTCCACGCTGCCTGGGAGAGGCTCCTTAATCACCAAATAAAGATATCTTCATTTGATATAAATAATCTACACGTATAAATTTGAATCTCTAGCAGATTTATAATTATCATACAGGACATTTAAGTTCAAAGCATTTAACTAGATTCAGTTTATCATATGTTTAAAAATACCTTTATTATGATAAAGTTGTTTAGTTTGAGCTTTCCCTTTAGTTTTGCTGTCATAGGTTTAGGATGCTGGAGGACAACCTGATCATCTTCTCTTATTATTCTATTATGCTAATTCAGAGGTGAAAATGTGAAAATTTAATGTTTCCTGGCCCTAGCTTACTCTGCTTTAAAATTAATAAATGTAAAAAGCCCTTCATTTATTAAAAAAATTAAGTATTTGTTCATTTTTAGACAATGGAATAAAAAAATCAAATCTATCTAGTTATTCAAATTATCCAACTGATTGAAAAAAGAAGAAAGATATTTTGTATATGGAAGTAAAAAACAACCCACCTATATAGCGACGGCTCCTTTTTCAGGATTTCCATGTTAATGTGCTGCTCCATGAGGCTGTAGAGCAGGATGGGCAGCGATGTGAAGCTGATGTTGTAGAGTGTCAAGTAAGCTGTGTCATACAGTGGCTTTAGAGAAAAACAGAGCAGCATTGGAGTTATGGGAGTTTTTTTTGTGCTTTTGTTATGAATTTCTTAAAAGGCCTCTAAAATGTAGTCATTGCCAACCTGCTGAGAGAATCCACAGAAGAACTGGTAGAGGAACTGAGGAAAGATGAAACATACATTCTGGGGGAAAGATAAATATGAAAAAACATATGAGTTTTATTTCTGCTAGACAGTATACTTTCATTATAAGTAACATATAAAGGTGTTTCAAAACAATAACTGGGTTAAATGTGCAAGAAATAGACTTTTAATGAATGAATCAACACTAAAGTAATCCAAACGTTATTTTTGTGACTTAAGCAAAACTTTCTTGAATAGTACAAACATTGCGTATCAGATAGAGGCGGGTGGATTACCTTGTAAAAGAAGTATTGCACAAGTTCAGAGATGCGTATATAGTAATAGTGTCCATGGACAAGCAGCATCTTTTTGAGGTGTTTAAACTTTGGGATAGCGTAGTCACTGTTTCTTACTGCCTGCCGACCCTCCTTACCCATAATACCTAGAGGGAAACGCATCAAAGAAAACACATTAGCTGAAGGTATTAGTCATGTTTCTCTGCAGAGGATAATTTTATAAGTGAAGTGAGAATCTGTGGCTTTTATTTGAAAAGCTGATTTATAATGATGGTGATTTAGAAGGAAAATAAACTTATCCAATAAGAACTCAATTACATGAAGACATAATTAATTCCCTGCATTCAGCATGATGGACAATACTTATTTCTCTTTTACCATTTCACAATACTATATAGATCTAACTATGTAGTCATGCATACATTTCAGACATTCTTCACAAATAAAAATCTAAACAATGTTTTTAGCATCAGTGTGCACTCAAGAAATGTCTATATAACCATTTAGACCACAATAAATGTAGGTCTTAGAATGGTCTAGTCAAAGTCCAGTAATATTAATCTGTGGTAGAACTTCAACATAACATGTTTACAGATGCTCTCCATCCAGTCTGACTAAGCAGGACATGTTTTTGCAGGGAGGATTAGGTAAAGATTTCAGTCAGTAGATGTTTTGATGACATAACAGAAAACTCTAGCAGCTATAATTCCAGCAATTATTGATTCAGAGAGGATAACTGCACTCCTAAGATTTAACTTATTAAATTCCTTTTTTTAAAAGCATTGATTTCTTTTATTCCACATAAAGCCTGGTAAAATACATTCAATTATGTGGTTGTGATGTGACAAAATGTGAAAATGCTCAAAAACAACAAGAATGGTGTAAAAATATAACATTCCAATCAATAAAGGGAACAAAGGAAAGGAGGGCAGTAAAAAAGAAAGAAGTAAAAAAGTGATTCAGTTGAATATTAATGGTTTGGTTATATTGGAAAAACACAAACCGATGCCAACGTGAGCCTCCAGGATCATGCTGACATCATTTGCACCGTCTCCAATGGCGAGGGTGATCGGATGCTCTTTGGAAGCTTTGATCATTTTTACGATCTGAGTAAGTAAAAGAAAAAAAATTGCATTCCAGCAATTATTGCTTTTGCACAAGATCTCTATGTTTATTTAAATGGTGGGTGATTCAACAGTTTCTACCTGTGCTTTCTGAAGAGGAGCCATTCGGCAGCAGAGCACTGCGCTGCAGTTACGACAGATTTCCAGGAAGATCTCTTTGTAATTCCCTGAGTTTGAGTCCTCCTGGCTGGGCCTCATTACAGCAGAGAGGGTGGCTCCATCGATTATCAGGCCGTAGTCGGTATATTCACCAGACAAACTGGAACACACCAAGTTTTAGACTCTCAAATGTTTGCCAATTTGAATGTAGCATTCCAACACAATAATACACCAATATATTTTAAATAAGTAATGTTCTGCAGAAAACACACACCCAGAAGAGGTGTCGCGGGGCATTGCTCCATAATGCCGGAGGACCGTCCTGCTCAGCTCAAACAGGACGTCATGGAGGCTCTGCTCCTCTGTCCGCTTAGTGGTGAGCTCCAGGATCTGGGTGCTGCGGCGAAACAGCTTGCTGGCGTAGCAGGTTGCAACCGCTGTCTCCATCTTGTCCCCGGTCAGAACCCACACCTTCATACCTGCCTTATGGAGAGACTCTATTGTATCTGCAGCTTTTTCCTGCAGTCTGTGGAGGAAGCAGATAAATAAAGAAAGCAAAGAGGACTGTTCAGCTATTTTAAAATGATGGAATTACAGCAAAAAAAAAGTGCAGAGAAACATCATCCAAGTCATTTTCTCTTTATTTGGAGTCAACTCATTGTGCCCTGTGGAATAACACTTCCTTTACAGTTTGGCTTTGATTGCTTCTGCTGCTTTTGTAATTGGAGGGAGCTGCTACTCTCCTCAAAACTAGGGCAGCTCTTCCTCATCACACTGCTTTGAGATAATGGGGGTTGCAGAAAGGCTGCTGTTTTTTCTATATTACACAATCTGGGGTTTTTATTTAACAGCATGGGTTTCACACCTGTCCTCCACAGCAGTGGCTCCCAGCAGGATGAGGTCTCTCTCAATGAGGTCGTAAGCCTCGGCCACCAGCTTGTCCTGATCCTGGAACTCCAACTTCGCCCTCGTCAGCAGGTGGCAAACCTGCTCGTACTGCTCAGTACTCAGAGGCCGATAAGCGACACAAAGCGTCCTCAGCCCCTCCTGAAGGGAAGGAACACGGTGTACACAGGAGTTTGAACATTCCTTTTTTGCAAACAAAGACGTTGAGCGGCAGCAGGCCAGTGCACTGTGTGGGCACCAGCAGTTCTCACTGTTCCACGCTCATCAGCTCAACACCCACAACCTACATTTTCATTTCCACTGAAAGCTGTGAGTTATCTGCTGCTGCAACCACAGAGAGAGAGAGGAAGGTCTTATTGACCTGGTTTTTTACTGCTACTTTAATTCACCTGATCTATGGCAGCTCAACAAGCACACATACATTAAACCTCAACCAAAGCTGATTTTAAAGATTTTTGAAATATTTAGAAACAAGATTTAAGACAATTCAACCTTCCTGAAAGCAAAGACAAAAAACAAAAACTACAATAAGACTGTTATAGAAGAACTTAACATTGTTATTGTGTCTCCTAAGTCCCATTACAACCAAAACGAATTGGATCTTAAAGGGATAGTTGAGGTTTTTGTACGATACGGCCAGTAACGTACCAGAGAAAAAGCAGTTCAGGTATGGTAGAGGGATTTTGAAATTACAAAAACTATGCTATGTTGGACTATTTCGGCAATTTAAAGGCACACGTCACACTTTGTGACCTAAACAGTTGATGTATATTTGTTATTTTAAATGATTCCTCAGGCTAATATACAGCACTTGACACTTAATGCTACGAACGGGGCTCTCCTCTTGAAATACTGCCTATGTAAGTTGGGAGAAGACACACCATCATTGGCGGGGTCATGTGACCTGAAAGAAAACGTATCATTTTACGGACACAGGCTAGAAGTTTAAAACCTTCGGAGGAGGCTGAAAAGAGAAAACGTAAAAGGGATCATGCGAGAGAAAAAAAACAAGTCATTCTTGGAAAGGAGTTTATATGTAAAACTAATTCTCTTCTCTCAACTTTATTATTAGAGTGGCAAGTTAACAATTTGCTCATAGTATACAGTCATTTATATTTATTATTTTGGATGTTTAGTAGTAGAAAACTCACGGGCAGTTACAGGTCAAGCGCCCCTAGTGGCCAAAGGTTGCATGGTGTGCCTTTAAAAAAGTCAAGGGGCTGCTATCACTCTGCAGGTGTGGAAGAAATAAACTAAATTCATAAAACGTTGGCAGAAGGATCCATTTCAGAGGGAAGGTGAGACATCGGCTCAGACTGAGCTCCAGAACACATAAGGGCTCACCTTCCCTCTGTTGTCTGCAGTGGATCCTTCTGCAGACCTACCTCTTAAAATGGATTCAGCTCTCACAGGATTTAAATTACTTTTCCAGATTATTTCAAGTAAAGATGTTTACAACAAAGAGGAAATTACAAAAGTCTTCAAACCTCTTGGATATTTTACATTCAGTCAATCTCATAGAAAACCATTTCAAAACATCTGTAGGGAAATTTGAATCGAAGTAGGTCATGCTTCAGTGATACACCTCCTGTGGTAGCCTTGGAAACTGTGGTCATGACTGTAACTGTGGAAACCACAAAGACTGCACAATCTTTCAAGCCAGAAAAACCTCCCGAATGAAAAGAATTTAATGTTTTTACTTCAGCTCTCTGACATAATGTTGAAGGGTGGCTGCTTGTGCTCTTACCACTGCATTGCGCTCCACCCTTGCTTTCACCTGCTCCACCTTTCCTGAGATAACTCTGGGGAAGATGGAGGAATCTGCTCCTTTGCAGAACAGAAACAGCTCACCTGCTCATAGAAACAGCAAAAATACCACCTGAGCGACAGAAGGACAAACAACAGCACAGGGTAAAAGTGAACGATGTATTTTAGATGTTACCCTTGCTGGATCTGACGATAACGCTCATCCTCCGTCTCACCGAGTCAAAAGTCAAAACTTCTAAGAGCTCAAACCTGATTTAAAAAAAAAGAGAAATAATACTAAAGTTAACTTCTAAGAATCAAAAGATTTCAACAAACATGGACGCTTCTGTGAGAAAAATCTTAACAGGAAGAAATCGCCCTCAAACAACTGGAACAAAGGCCGTTAAGATGAACGTTAGCCAAGACCAGACAGAGAATAAGGTAAGATTTAACTGCAAACAAATGAATAAATTAATCTATTTATGCTCCTCACTTTCTTCCATGTAAAATAATTTAATCAGTGTAGAATCATAGACATCATAGACTCCATTTTGCTAACTAAATTCCTTAATGAACTACATAAGAGTAGAAAAGTGCTTAACATCTGAGTGGCTATTATTGGTGTATTTATGTTAACACTCACCTCTCTATCTCATCCTCCCTGTTTAAGATCTCCATATGACCGTCCTTGAGGCGCAGATAGGTGAAACCGAGCCTGAAGCACACAGCATTTAAAAGGTGAGGTGGCCAAAAGAGTTAAAATCTAATTTCTTTAATGTGTTTTTTTTTTTCTGCTCCACCTCTTCATGCCCTCCACCAGCGCCACCTCATCAGGAGAGGATGATATGTAGAAGGAGGAGGACTTCCCCTGGTGGATGCCATGCTTGATCCCATCTACCGTCTCCTCCTCTTTCACCTGCACCGTGTGGCACAAACACAACGCACGGAAAAACAGCTCCTCACGCTCCTGCGAGGTAAGAATGGCGGTGTTACACTCCTATATCCTCACACACAACTTCAGACTGCCAGAAAGTTAAATACGCTCACCCTGGCGTCAGGCCCCGGCGATGTGTCGATCATATCGATACCAGAAGCACCGGGCATCACCTGGCAAAAAACAATATTCATGCTATGACTGTGTAAATTTTTAATTTGTAATCAATCCCATCAAAAAATGTATAAGGAAACAAATTGTATGATTATCCTTCAATTATGTTGTATTAAATGACTCTAGACCTGCTTAGGTTTTAGTATATTGGGTGAAGCAGATGAGTTGGTGAAGGTAAATCCAGCTGTTTAGAGCTCCATTCAACTTCATATGTGACTGCCTGTTTTCCGGATTGTACCTCAGAGGGAGGAGCTGGTAAAGTCTGCTTTTCCAGATTTTATGACTAATATTTAATCTCTACTTTCACCTAAACGTTTGAAATACCTACATGTAAAGTTCATTATATTGTTCACTAAAAATATCAACGCATTCAGTAAACGGCGTTCATTCCGGCGACAAATCCGCGCTGAAAAACAAATACAAATACCACCACTATCAACAGATTGTGGAAAAATGCCAGGAGAAAACGACTGTTGCTCACGGACGGCATGGACTGCCCTTAATATTGAATCTGTCTTTTTGTTTGTCGGCTGCAATATGACAAACTACTGACAGCGTATTAATGTATGCATAAATGTAGTGTAAGTTATTTGCCATAACTGCACTAAGGATTGTGAAGTAGAACACAACTAATGCAACCACAGAAGCCTCAGTAACACCACAGGATTCATGCCACACCACAAAACAGTGATTCATGCAAATCGAGCCCAGACTGAGTCCAGAGGCTTTGCAGTTCATGGGAAAACTCTGATAGTGGAGGAAATAGAGGAAATAGCTCAAATTAACATTTATTTCTGATTGTTTTTTTTTTTCCCCCCAGCTATTTACCCATAAGTAGTTGATGGACTCAAAATGATTAGATAGTGAGATATAATAATCAACATTAATTTAAGGAAATAAAACGAAAGAAAATATCTACATATATTTTTTTTACATCTTAAATTACTTCCAATAAATGCCAATGCCTACTTTCACTTTCTGTGAATGATATTTCAGAAACCATTGACTGCCTCACTCCATGTTTACATTACCTGTCCGTTACAGATGACATGAGGTACGTAAACGTTTCCGTCCACACAGCACTCTATAAACTCCATATTGTTCTCTGTCAGAGTCCCCGTCTTGTCTGTGAATACATACTCCACCTGGAAAAACAGACACACATGTGTAATATATTATCATTTTAAGTTTGGCACTGATTAACTACATTCATAAATAACTTATCATCCAGTGGTCTGAACCAAGCCAAGTGGCTCTTCTAGTGATACCTGTCCCAGCTCCTCATTGAGGTCAGACGTGTTGACTACAGCCCTCTCTCTCAGCTCCTCGTCAAACATCTCGTCGTCCCACATGATAAAATAGGAGCCCAGGAACTTCTGCATCTCCACCGTGACGTACATGGATACAGGGATGATGTAGTTGAAAAGCACCATGAAGGCTAAGAAGTCTGTGAACGCCCTGATCAGCTACAGAGAGAGAGGGGGGGATTAAGAGGAGTATGAAGGAAAGTACCAGAGGATGAGGAACCTTTGAAAAACAGATTTAAAGGAAGTTTGTTAAAAACTCACAACATGTCTTTGCCTCTCTGTCTCAGTTTTCCCGTTGTAAAACGGCTCGTCTCTGTTGGGGTCGGCCTGCCACACGTACTTCATCGCCGTGTTGATGATGGCTTTGCTGATGAGGATGCACAGGTAAACCACCAGGTAGGCATTCATTGACCTGCAGGTGGAGACAAGGAGCAGCTGGTGAGACATTCACTGCTCTGGGGAAAGTTTCCATGGCCTGATTACCCCCCTAAGTAACAGAATGAAGAGATCACTTAACTTCTTCCTGCATAAAAGTACAACAAAAACATGAAGTAGGCTTGAAAAAAACCAAACAAATTATGCTGAAAACCAAAGAAAGCAAATAAAAGATAAGAAACTAAATTTGTCTAGATTGTAAACTCCTTTTCCATCCATCCATCTTCTCTTGCTAATGAAAGTATTTTTACCATGTTGGCATAGAAAAAATAACCAGTAGAACATGGCATAGCAAGACAGAAAGGATGCAGCAGCAAAGAGTAAGAGGAGCTAAAGAGCTCAGAGTGGAGGTCAAACAGAAAAACCCAAATTGCATAACACAGGTGGAATAAAAAGACTAATTATGGAACTGATAGTAAAAACTACAAGCAAAAGATCAGCTATTAGCATAAACTAAAAATTGTATCATTAAAAAAAATCAAAAACTCGAACAACCAATTTGTTTTGAGTCGTTTGATCCAGAAATCATGATTTTTTTCCCCTTCAGATTGAATCAGAAAAACGGTTTACAGTTTTTTACCAATTCAATCTGGTCTTCCTCTTAGGTAACAGCGTTTATGTCTAGAAAGCCTTCATTCACAGCAAAGTAGGATAAAAGTCACATTGATGTTAGGTCCACAAATGTAGTGAATAATTGTGATTGATAAATATACCAAAAGTTTGTTCGTAGTTCCCCCAGAGATATAAAAGAACCATTGCCTCATAACACATGCAATCATTGCCAGTTGTTACTGCAAAGGTAGCCCAACCAGTTATTAGATTTAAGGGACAATTATTTTTCACAACTGAAGTTTTACTTGGAATAATTATCTTCTTCCTTTTTTTATTATCCTTTAATGATCATATTAAATCTATTTCACCCTGAAAATAAAGCAGCTTAATTAAATCGTTAAAATAATAAATGCACTTTCCCATCTGCACTGTTTTGTAAAGTTATGTGCATTCATTACCGGTAATAATTCCCAGCTACATGTTTTATTTTAGGACAAATTGTGCAAAAAAAAATCTATTTTTATAGCTCTGTTAAGCAGCCACATTCTGGATATATTAGCTCTACATTTCTTCACACTATAAAATAGGATAACTCTTTGATCTGCAGTTTCATATACCTAATACTCTAGTCTTGCTATGTTTTCTGAGGTCCTAAGCTTGAAAAAAGCAGCATCTTTATAGCACTGGCACAAAAAAATAGTTCATTTTGATGAAAGGAAGACAAATGCTATTAAAGTAATCCATCGCACAGTAACAAACTCTTAATGAAATCCACCTACAGTCAGTCATTTGCACAAGCCATCTGGACAGAAGAGTCCATCAGCGCCAGATGGAAGAAAATAGATTGAATCACTGCAGCGAGCCAAAGAGACGCACAAACCAGCAGACAGTGAATAAATGACAGTTTGAGATGTGATTAGATGGATGGAATGACAGGCATTAAAAAAGTGACAATTATCTAATCCAGCGTAAGCAAAAGATTCCCTAACAGAGAAGGCTTGCATTTAAAAGTCATTGCTTCTTAGATTAAAAATGTGAGATCAGGGAGCTTACTTTTCCACCGCAGATCGCTTCTGGGACTTGGACTGGTAGTTGAGAGCCATCTTGGTTTCCATGCCAGTGTAGATAGCAACACCTTGATGTAACAAGAAAGTAGTTTAAAACACCCTAATTATCAGCCTTTAAAAGAATTCATGTACTTTGTGTTTATTACCATAAATATATTGAGTGTTTTTCAGTGTTGCTCCACGAAGCAGCAAGTTCTGAGAAGCTAAAGACCTACAGAGGGCAAACACTTACTGTAATTAGAGAAATTCACTTCTTCAGAATGCACATAATAATAAGGTTTTATTACAAAACCAGACAATTATACTCAAGATGGAGCAAAAAGTACAGATGCATGCAAAAACAGTGATGTTTTTCCAAACAACAACTCTATTAAAAAAGGAAATGCATTAATATACACATTATTTATGTTGCAGTAACTGCAGTTGTTCACAAAGCCCTGCTACAAAAACAGGCTACAATAATAGTAAATAGACAGTTTAAACAAATATGTTTCACTTTCAATTTTAATAACCAGCTATAATCAAGTGTTAGAAAAAAAAAAAAACTTTCCAAACTGGTTGCACAAGTAATAACACCCTTTGATGAATATTGATTGAGGCACCTTTTGATTCGATTTTAACAACTTTTCAACAACTTTTTTTAAAAAGCAAGCTCTGATTGTGACAGAACTCAGTTGGAGGATTTACAGTCAGTCTAAATAATTGTCAGTCCTTAAAATAAACTAAATGTATCTGGTAGAAAGATGAAAATTATGATTTTTCTTTCTAGCATCCAAATAAGTGAAAGCATATCCTCCAAATCAACACAAGAATAACTTCAGGAAAGGAACAGTACAATTTTATAATGCATTAGCTGCAGAGGTGTCAAGTTACAAATTACAAATACTTTGTAACCTTACTCAAGTAGAAGTTTTGGCTATCTATACTTTCCTGGAGTAATTATTTTTAGACAACTTTTTATTTCTACCTTACATTTTTTTTTTTTTACAATTATCACTACTTTTTACTCCTTACATTTTAAAAATAGACTCGTTAGTTTTGCTTGATTCAGCTCATTTTCGTTATGGCCTGTTGGTATTTAAAAAAAATAAAAAACCATCAAAATAATATGTTTTATCCAGACAATTAATTTCTTTGTGGTTGGACTCGGTGCTGCACCAACTTGTTCTTCCCCACATACCAAAATAAATGTTTTTTCAAGATGATGCAAAGTTAAATCTAACACTGTTGCCATTAGTTATATAACTAAGAAAATTAATTACAGTATAAGGAAGTTATCATCCAGAACTGAACAAAAAAAAGTTCCTATACTAGGGTAATGCAGTAAAGCAGCTGTGCTTAACATTTTTTCTGAAATGATTATCACTTTTATACTTTAAGTAGTTTTAAAAATTGTATTTTTAACACTTTAACTTGAGCATAAAGCTTAATTTGATACTCTAACTTCTAAAAAGTATTTTTAAACAGTAGGATTTATACTTCTACTTCAGTAATACACATTAATACTTTTGAAACCTCTGATTATTTGGAAACCATTTGCCAGGCAGAATGAGAAAACACTGACAGACATCAGCTGTATCAAAAGGTGTTTCAACAAAGTATTAATTCAGGGGTGTTGAGCTCCTTAAACTGAACATCAAATAAAATCACACTGAAGATTAAACTTGAAAGGTTTTTTTCAGAATGTGATGCTGATATTTAAGTCTAAATTAATCCCACGGATCTTTCCCAGAGACATTCATAATGGTTATGTTCAGAATACCTGGACACAGGCTCACTTCCCATGTAAATGTTGATGTTGCCCCTAAATCTGTTTTGGATGAAGAAGAGCACAGAAAGAAGAGAGATCAGAAATGTTTCTGATGTTAAGCTTCAGTCAAAGCTGTGGAGCTGTTCTACTAACTTGTACAGGTCTGGCTGCGGCTGTTCACAGTCTATAGTGGCATGGATGCAATTGACCTCCTCCTCCGTTTTGTAGGCTTTGGTGTCTTGCACTGCATGGTATGTCTGCAGGAAATAACAGACTAAGATTAGGGAGACACAAAGTAAACAAAAAAAAACTGTTTCTATGCTTTGGGGTGTCTTTCAGGAGTTACAGGGTTCCTCATTTTGTCACATATTAGCAATGCGCATATTTAGCATATTATGAGTCAGAGCAGCACAAAGTGGCTCATTATTGAGAACTATTAAGGGATATTAGGTATTTTTTCATAGTAGGAATATACTTTAAACAAAAAAGGTAGATTACAATAATAACTATTTTCAAACAACCATCAAATCCAAAACCAACTGGAGCCTAAAGTCTAAACTAAACAAAGTACAGGAATTTTCAGTAGCTGCATTAAAATGTGTTCATATTAGTTTTAATTATTTAATTTCCTTTTTTCTGCTTAATAATCTTAATAATAATTCAAATATTTTCTATTTTTATTTATGTCAATTGTTCAAATATGTTTCACTACTAATGTAATTTATATTTCTTTACAAAATATCATTAAATTTATTATTCTTAAAGAACATTTAACGACTACCCATGTTCAGAGAAAAGATTTTCTTGCTTTTGAAAACTCACCGCATAACCATTTTAAATAAAAATAATCATATTTCTAACCAAAAGAAAATTATTAATCTTTTTCTTTTTATTACAAACAGCTAATTTAGATTAAATGGAGAGCATCTATGAGTATCAAGTTAAGTTTTTTCATGATTTTCAGGAGGCTTTGCCTCTGGACTTTGACTAGGCCACTCATTAAACTCATTCTTAAGTCCTTCCAGCCTCTAACAGATTTTCCTATGGTCCTTCTGTGTGTCTAGCTCCATCCTTTAACGCTGCCATCACCATGTTTTACAATTTTAGAATTCATCAAAGGAGTTCAATATAAAAACACACCACGTTATTCAAGTGTTTTAATTTTAAAAATATAAAAAGTTTATATCACTTTCCTTTGATTAAACAATTAAACAGCACTTTGTGTTGGTCCATCAAATCAAATCCAAATAAAATCCCTCCATGACTGTGATTGTAACATAAGAAAATCAGGAAAGGTTTTACGGGCTATAAATTCATCTGCAAGGTACTGTATGCAGTCAGAAACAGAAAATATAAAATACACGAAATGACTCTTAAAAACACACTTTGTGGCTGCTCTCTCCATCCAGGCTAGCTGTTGTAACATAACACGTCCCATCGTCCCGAGACGAGGAAAGCAGTATGAGATCGCACGGGAAGACCTCGTCTTCTTCCACGAACACCACGTCTCCAACCTGAAGTGGACAGAGGAGATGAAACTCTTTGCTCATGGACATCTAGCATTTCTCGCCCTGTTTTACTGCTAAATGCGACCAGATTGATGTACGGTCACACACCCTTAGCTTGCGACTCTGTTTGCGGACCACTTTCCCATGCTCCACCACGTGGACAGGACACTTGTTGACAGAGTTGTCTGCTTTATGTCTCAACCAGTCCTCATAGCCCTGCATGGGAACCAAAAAGGCAGAGCTGTTGGAAGTGTGGCGGCATCCCGGATGCAGACATGTGAAGCACATGAGTTAGGTCTCACCTGTTTAATGGCCGTCACTATGATGACGAAGAAGAGCGGCAGACCACTGGTGATTGGACTTGTGGGCGTGTCGATGATCAACTGTTGACCCACCCACAAAGATTGCAAAATCAAAACCAATTACAAAAAACACAGCAATGAACATTATTAAAAAATAGACATTTACTTGTGTTACTTAGAATTAAACATAAATGCTTCTTTCACCTCTCCTATAGCATAATCCAACTGTTGTTTATATCCAGTATTTATTTTGGGAGAATTTCAATCTGTTGTAATAAATCAAAAAATGATGATCAAGATGCTGAGGGCTTAAATAAAGCACAGTTTCATAATGGATCCAATCATATGCTTAGAAAATACTAATTTAAATTAAAATAAGGTGACCTATAAAATGGCAGAACGACACAGTTTAGATTAAAAAACTCACTAAATTTACTATAAAAAATGCCCTATAACTACATTCTTGCAGTGAAGGTAAATGGGAAAGGCCAGACATGTTCACAGCAGATTAGAACCAATTTAATCTCTGTGTTGATTAAAACCATGTGGCTCGTATCATAACAAATGTAAATAACCTAATTTTAATGTGCGATACTTAAAAGGTAGGTTCTTCCATGCGATTTTATTCGGCATCAGTACAGAAGCAGCAGTTTTCCCTTAAACATGAGATTTTGGCACCTCAAGCACCATGTTAAGCTTTAGTGTCAAGGATCACACACTACACTGCAAAAAATATAAATCTCAATAAGTTATTTTTTCTTAAAATAAGTGTGTTTTTTCTTGATTTGAGGAGGTAAGTAAGACACTTTGCCAATGGAACAAGACAATTTCCTTTTAAAATAAGAAAAAACTATTTTATCGTCTTATTTCAAGTAAATATTATCTAACTATCTTATTTTAAGAGTGAAAATACTCATTCCATTGGCAAATCATCTTATTTACCTGCTCAAATTAAGGCTAAATATACTTAATTTAAGCCATTTTTTACTTATTTCTGGATTGTTTTTGCAGTGTAGAATCTTGAGGAAAAAATTTAATTTGGTCCAGTACTCTATGCAAGAAATGTTCAACAATCTACTGTACTGTAGTCTAGTTTAAACTAGAGACTGAGACGGGAGTGGATTTTCACTCCTGTCCCGTCCCACTCCCACAGAAAAAAATTGTGTCCCGTCCCACTCCCACAGAAAAAAATTGTGTCCCGTCCCGATCCCGGGCCAGAGTAGAAATCTAAATCCTGTCCCGTCCCACTCCTGGTGAAATTACTCCCACTCCCATCCCGCTCCCATACAGAATGACTCCCGCTCCTGCACCCTCCCATTCTTGTTGTCTTCAATAAGATTTCTTCAATTACTTTGAATCTGAATTTCTTTGAAGGGTCAGTTAAGTTCCTGTTTCTAACTGTAGTAACTGTTGGTCCCTCTATTGTTGTTTTTGAGCGCTGGTGAAAAACTCAGAGCGAAAGCACTGTTGGTTTTTGGGTCCTGTAGTTTATTTGACTCACATTATAGTGTAGGCTTCAAGGAAAAAACTACGAAATGGCGGCGCCAGTACTGGATTTTTTTTTTTCTTTCTATTTTATTTTATTTTTTGGCATCGATCCTAGTTTTTTTTTAGTTACTATCGGTTTGCTCCCGCTCCCGTTAATGTCTAATCCTGTACCGTCCCAATCACGTGATCGTTACTAATACTGACTCCCATCCCACGGGAATCCCGTGACCCGTGGGATTCCCGAAAAAATGTCAGTCTCTAGTTTAAACCCCTAACATCTAGTCACTGCTAAACATGGTTGGCTTTAGGTTGGAAAATAAACCTGCAGTTTGTCTTTATGTATTCATGGATTCATTGACTTTAGCCATGAAGATCCCCTTGACAAAAACACCTTAAACAGTTAAATTAGTAGATTTGGCAACTAGCTTTCAAACAAACTTTCAAAGTTACTGGCCGGGAGAAGTTGAAACTGTAGCTATCAACTATAATATTTAGTCATTTGTTTTGCCACTTCTTTTTTTGCAGCATTGCTGGAAACTTTAGTTCACATTAAGGTTAAATTCATGTTACCTGAACCAGAAAAATGATGAGAAAGTAGAAGTTGGCCACTCTTCTGAATTGCTCAAACATGTTCTTGGGGATGAAGTTCCAAAAAGTGTACTGGAAACAGAAGAGACACAATATTAGCCTTGCATGTCTACTGTAACATGGGACGCAGCTGGAGAACTGTTTTGCAGGTTGCAAAAAACAAAAGAAAGAAATACAGCTATAAAGAAACATGATTGAATGGTATTAAGGTCAAGGCCGTATAGGAAGCATGGCTTCATATTTTCATGAGTCACAGATGACAGCGTCTCTTTGCATAGACAAAGGGGGGGAATAAACGACTAAAGAAACAGATGTTTCAGCTTAGTCAGAAAGCTGTGTTCTGTCTAATGGTGCTGTTGCCCAGAATCACTCCCCCACACCCACCTTGGAAGAGACTATTCTGTTGTCTGGAAACCTTTGCTGTATGAAGGCCTCGGTTCCTGGAGGAGGCTGCTTATGTCCAATGTAAACTGTCCTGGTGTCTACACAGTTCTCCTCACCAGCACACTGCAATAAGAACAAAGACGAACCCCAAAGTTAAACTTTAACATAAAATACGGCTGTCAGCCGTGTTGTTATCTCTCCAGTTTAAATCACTGTCATTGTGATTCATAGACACAGAGGGCTCCTATGAGTTAGAGAGTTGTTTCTCAATGAATGCGAGTTTTTGTTGCCACGGTTACAAGGATGTGCATGTGACTCAGACTGGTATGCGGCAGGAAATGTGATCACACACTTCCCTCATGCAGACATATCCACAGAGAGGCAAGACATGAGGATTGGAATTCAGTTAGATTGAATTTTTTCTTTTTGCATGAAAATGACTCGCATTGATTTGATGTTAAGGAATGAATGAAACAAACACAAGTAGATTATGGGAAATTTCTACTTCTTTCATTTCTCGTACCTTTAGATACCATCTAAAAATAATTTCACAACAAAAAAAAGTGACTTTATTCTCTGGAATTTCCTATTCCATTGTGACTTCTTGACCTCCATCTTCAAATATCCCACAAAAAGCTTTCATTTTCTAATTTTAAGTTGCATAATTTCCGTTGAATAAAGATTTGATCAAGTAGAAATACAAATATATCATTAAAGATGTCCCTGTTGCAAATGCAATAGATAAAATAGGTCACCAATTCCCTTTGGGAACCAGGAGGTTGTTACAATGTTACATCAGCTTTCTTGTGAATTAGGTTATTACCTTCACCAAGGAGGTTATATTTTTAGGAGAGTTTGTGTGTCTGTCTGTCTGTCTGTGTAAAAGATAACAGGAAAAGTATTGTACAGATTTTGATTACATTTTTAAAACAACAACGTAGAGTGAATGAAGAAGGTGAGAGCAGAACATTTGGTCATGATTCAGATCATATGTGAGTTTAAGCTATAGGTGTAAATCACAATATGGGGCAAACTTTGCTGTCTGGTGGAGTTCTCTAGTTCATATTTGTGTTAAACTTTGCAAATCAGGAAGTGTTAATGAAAAAAATAGAAATTTTCCAAACCTATATCTATATTTATTATATGCCATTTATCTTTTATTGATAAACAAATATTCAATAGCAACAGCTGCCCCCATTAAATACATAATTTCAACCTAGTGAAGATTAAACTATGCGCTTAGAGGAGTTCTAGACAGATTATTGGACTAAAAGGTTTTTCATCCTAAATGCAAAATGTTTGTGTATTTTCTACTATAATGACATAATTAGTGCTCTGAGTGGGTTGCTCTTCTAGCTAATGGCATGATCAGAGTCTGGTTATTATTTCAATTGTTGATTAATCAGATCTAATCCAATTATTTCTTTAGCCCTACTCTACAGCTAGAAAAGGGGTTAAAATGCATTAACAAAGTGTACAGGCTGTACAGGAGCCCTTAGCAATGCCAGCTAGATTGGCTTAAAGGGAACGTAAGTCATTATGGTACTGCTAGTACTATCCGGTCTAAAACAGAACAGACCAATCAACATAAATGAAACCATAACCAATGAGATTCCAGGTGCAATGTGGTGATGTTTAATGATGACCATTGTTATTTCCAGGTAATTATGTTTATATCATTAAAATCAACGTGTAGAAAAGAAATTCCTCTCTGCTGTAAAGTGTGGATATGTGATGATGTGGACTGGTTGCTCTTCCCAAACAAAAAAGGCTCCACAAAGACTCATGTTTATCTTCAATTTAATTTGTTTCAATTTAATTTATTTATATAGCGCCAATTCACAACATGTCATATCAAGGCACTTTATAGTTCACCAGATCATAAAGTCAAATTGATTCAAAGTTTTCTATCTAAGGAAAACCAGTTGATTGCATCGACTCTTGACTCTGATGCAATCCCTCACACTAAGCATGCTTGTAGCGACAGTGGAGAGGAAAAACTCCCTTTTAACAGGAAGAAACCTCCAGCAGAACCAGGCTCATTGTGAGCGGCTATCTGCCGAGGCCGACTGGGGCTCAAGGAGACAGAAGCAGAGATAAAAAAAGCAACTGTAAAAGGAAACGCATCTAGGAAACACACAGTCAGGCAGACGAGCTCCAAGCCAGCTCCCATTTCAGAGGATGAAGAGAGCACATCCAGCCTGTTGCAGTCAGAGAAACAGGATTACACTGGAAAAACAGGCCGATCTCCAACATCTACAAATAAAGGTGTCGATGTCAGCAGCTGATACACAGCTGTACACAGCTGATATTTCTCTCCAGGATGATCTTAATATAAGTTGTTGATAAAGGACTCTGATCCTTCCTGTCTTTTTTCTAATTATACTTTTATTTAAGTCCTCACCTTCAGCTATCACCACCAGTAAACTCTGAGATTTCTAATTCCTCGCTAAACAGCCTGACGACAAACACATGGAAAGACAATCACATGAGATAATAAGAGGTGACAGTAATCTGTGACCACTGAATGAGATTGAGTGTCAAGAGGCTGCATGGCCCACTTTACACTCTCGCTTGCTGTCAGTTCATCTCTGAAACGCACACACCAGTGAACGCGCATCCCGCTAACAATCTGCACTCTCTATTCCTAAACAGGAAGCAGGTCCTGTGACTGACTATTTCACACTAGAGGATGCAGTAGGATTTCATTTTAGCACTTCCTGTTTCAGATCACCTTACTAATATTAGACAACAGCACATTGCAAAAAAAAAAAAAAACCCAAAAAAACCTAAATCCAAGTCTTTTTTTTATTGAAATAAGTAAATTGTCTAGATTTAACAGTTAAAAACAGTTTACCAATTTGTGGTATAAATATTTTAAGGGCAAAAGTACTCATACCACAATTTCATCTACTTGTTCAAATTAAGAGCTAATTATTTTAATATATTTGTTCTTATATATTTTTTTTTTGCAGCCTTACATGAGAGACTAGAAATTCTGAAAAACATTTGATAAGAAAAATAGAAAAAGTGACCTTATTACAGAAGGAGGAAACATTAACAGAGGAAATAAATTTTGATAACCAATTTTTAGTTTATTAGCCACACCTGGTTCTGTTTACCACTAGATTCGTAATCAAAGCAATAATTTTACAACATGAAGTAGGCTAGAATATGTCGACAAGCAAAACAAAAAGCTGCATACTGTCCCAACATGAAGTAATTTTATAAACTATACCGGCAAAACTCATTACATTTTATTCCTGTAAATCCTCAGCTGTACAATAAACAGATTTAAAAACAATATCCTGTCCAGTCTTAGACAGATATCTTCCTTTCAGCCAAAGACGACATGAAACCATACAGCTTGCCAAATTAAGTCGCCCCCACAGAGCTGCAGTTCCTTCTTCTCTTCCACCTGCCTCTGCTCCATCTGCTTAGTTTCAGGTAAGTATTTTAAAATAAATTTCAAAAGAGAAAGGGAACCAATATATGTGTGGCTCCATTGTTTTATTAAACATACAGTTTGCTACAAATCAAAACTGGTGGCTGTGTTTAGTTTTCATTGATTTATTGAATTGGGACATTACTTGCAGTTCAAATTGGTAAAAAACTTAACTTTTTTATTTACCATTTATTGCTTCAGCAATGTTGCTACTGCCAGTTATGCAGCTTTATTGGTTTTCTCACCTCGCTCTTTTCTCTCCAGTCCACAACCTGGGCAGCCTCTAAGCCTGCCAATCTCTCCATCGATTACGTTCCACTTTTATCCGGATTTAAGCTTTTTACATGAAAGCCTGTCTGCATTTAATCAAATAAAATAGCATCGTTACAAAATAAGAGCAGGGCTCATAAAATCATTCCGGCTTGGCTCTTAAGTCTTCAGGTGTAACCTGAGACTTTAAGCAATTCTGGAGCCCGATAATAACTTTTAGCTGCGTTTTGTATTTCAGGACGTGGCAGGTTCCAGGAGTGTATATATAGTTGGAAGGGAAACATCTGCGGTAGGAAGAGAAAGATGGGGAGAGCACTGGGGCTTTGATTCTGTCTGTCTCACTCTACATCTACATCTTCTTTCTTTTTCTTTTACAGTCACTAAAGGAGAGCGAAGCAACCTTTCAGGGAGCAGCTCTCAGAGGCTAATCCCTACTGCATCAAACATGTATGAGATGAGTCATACAGGAACAGAAAAGTTTCCTCTGTAGTTACACCTGCAAGTGATTTGTGTATCTGTCTATCTATCTATCTATCTATCTATCTATCTATCTATCTATCTATCTATCTATCTATCTATCTATCTATCTATCTATCTATCTAGGGTTAGGGTCCTCTACCAGAGGCCTGGGAGGTTGAGGGTTCTGCGCAGCATGTTTGCTGTTCCTAGAACTGCACTTTTCTGGGTGGGATGTCTAATCAAAGGGAACATTAGCTAGAGAAATTGCCACTTATTACATTCAAAGGAGTCATATTTCTCACATTTTAGCTTCACTCCATTGCCCTCATGAAATCCTTAAAAAGGATCATCAGAGTTATGGCGCCAAAAGAATATCAGTATTAGCAAATTCACATGTGATCAACACATGAACAAGTCAAGATCCACACATTTTTGTGTATAATCAGTCCGTTCATCTGAGATTAAATGCTAAATCGAGCTAATGGCTAACAGTTTAGAAAGTTTTAATTTCACTCTGAAACACAAAAAGTGTCCCTTAAATACTGACTGCAGAAAAAATAAAAAATATTCATGTATTAAATAACCCATAACATTCGTATTAGGTTGCTAATCAAATTTGATTTTTCAAGCATTATGTGCAAGACCTGTTATGTAATTCATGTAAATAGCTAGAAATATAAAAACATAACAAAAGGCATCATAGCTGAATTATCCATTGCAAGACTGAGATTTTCACTACCCCATTTTCAATGTGTGAATAAGCAAGTTCTGAAAGCCTTTCCCTGTAGACCTGAAAACAGGCTGAAAAATGAAGCCCTGCACTGATTAGGAACACATAGTAAACAGGAACAGCTGGACCCACCCACTCACTCACACTGCACACACAGTTTCCTGAAAAAAGGCCACTTTACCAACCCCCCACCCCAAATCCACCCACCCACTCATTAAC